GAAACCGAAGCTAAGCTACAAGTCATCGAAGGCCTAAGCCCTAAACCTTAAGTAAGAAACTCCAATATCCAGAATCCCTGCCAACCGGGTCAAATATGATTAAAAATGACTTTCCTGCCTTAGTACGTGGGTCCTGTGAACCCTGAAATCCGTGCATGGACTCTCCGTGAGAACCCGAAAACCTACTGGGCCACGAGCCCCTTGAACCAGGCGCAGCCGGCTGTGTTGCGGCAGGGCTGACTGCTGGATGGCCTGTGACTATGGCTTAACCCAACTAGTTTAAGGTTCAGGGGCTTTTCGGTTTAGGGTTCAAGGGTTTACGGTTGTCGGGTTTCCAAAAGGTTCAGGGCTTAGGGTCTACAGCAACACAGCGTGCCTGGTGCTCCCCTAAACCCGCTAACCCTCACAGAGCCACCCTAAACGGTGTAACCCTCAACAAGCCAACCCAAACCCTGAAACCCAAAAAGTCAGCCTAAACCCAATAACCCTCCAAAGACACCCTAAACCCTAAACCCGCCCAAAAAACCTGAAACCCTAAACAGAAGCCTAAACCCTAAACATCCTTAGACCTTAACACACTATAAAGCCGAACCCCTGAAACCCCCCAGACCTGCCTCAACTCGGGTCGGCAGTCGGCATCCGTGCCGCTTGCGCACCAAACCTGCGAGGGGGTTGGAGTTTAGGGTTTTTGGGGGTTGGGGTTTAGGGTTTAGGGTTTAGGGTTTTGGGGTTGGGGTTTGGGGGTGAGGGGTTTGGGGTTTGGGGTTTGGGGATGGCTGCTTTTCTTGGGTTTGCAGGGTGTGTGGCGGGCTTTAGGGCTGGTTTGGGGGTTCTGAGCGGGCTTGGATTTTACGAAAGTCTATAAGCCCCAAACCCTAAACCCTCTAAACACTCACTCCCTATAAGCCCTATAAGCCCTGTGAACCCAAAAAACCCTAAAAAACCCTAAGAACCCGTAGGTGGGGGACTCAGCGCATCTAAGGTTTCGGATTCGGGGCCCTAAACCCTAAACCCTAAACCCTAAACCCTAAACCCTAAACCCTAAACCGTCTTCGGAGACTCGAAATCTCCATCACATCTGCAGCCGCAGCATTTCGGGATTAGGGTTTAGGGGGTTTAGGGTTTAGGGTTTAGGGTTTAGGGGGTTTTAGGGTTGAGGGTTTCGGGTTTGATATGGGGACTCTACTAATTAGGATAGGGTTTTGGGCCTAGGGTTTAGGGTTGAGGGTTTCGGGTTTAATCTAGGGACTTTAATAATTAAGATAGGATTTAGGGTTAAGGGTTTCGGGTTTGATATAGGGACTTTAATAATTAGGATAGGGTTTAGGGTTTAGGGTTTCGGGTTTAATCTAGGGACTTGAATAATTAAGATACGGTTTAGGGTTTAGGGTTTCGGGTTTAGGGTTTCGGGTTTCGGGTTTAATATAGGGACTTTAATAATTGGAATAGGGTTTTGGGGTATACTATACTATAATCGTAATCAGGAGCCCTCGAAACAGTGGAGGTAATTATTCAAACCCCTACTATATTCTCACCACCAATCTCTGGATCGCCAACACTAGCGTTTAGCTTAGGGCTTTGGCTTTAGGGTTTAGGGTTTAGGGTTTAGCGTTTAGGGTTTAGGGTCTAGGGTTTAGGGTTTAGGGTTTAGGGCTCGGGGTCTACGTAGCCAGCGACCCCATGTAGCAGATCCCGAGTCTAAGCCCAAGAAAGCAAAGACCACAAGCCACATGTTGACACCTGCCAACCAGAGCCGAACTTTCCTAACCCTTCACCCTAAACCTTTAATCCTAAACCCTGAACCCTAAACACTAAACCCTAGACCCCAGACCCTGAACCCTGAACCCTGAACCCTAAACCCCAAACCCCAAACCCCAAACCCTAAACCCTAAACCCTGAACCCTGAACCCTAATCCCCAAACCCCAAAC